CGTGCCTTAAGGTAACCCTCGTGCTATTGATAGAAGAAATCAGACAAGTAGTGAATAGGTCTTTATTTCGATCTTCGCGCAGTCACAGTGGAGCGTGGGATTATCTGTTCAGACAAACAAAGGCTGTCAACATTCAATATAAGATAATAGGGAATATAACGCTTATAAAAAATAAGGAAGTGAATGAATACTTGAACAATACTGTTTTGGCATATGCTTGGTTGTTTGGGATCAACTCTTAACCAACCAACCTGAGCTGTTACAAATCTTTGAGCCATGATTTTTTGACATTATTAAGATGCATGCAGCCCAACATAAAACAACCAACCAACCCGAGTTGTTGCAGTATCACACTAGCCCCCACTAGGTGTCTACAAGAAATTGATTTACGATCTTCTTGTCTGTAATGTAGATGAAACTATCTTCTACGCGACTTTGGTTGGCGCTAGAAGCCATCAGCGATCGATTATTGTGGCGTTTCTTAGAGCCGAATTAGCCCAGCTTTGTGTACCTTTATGCTTTGGTGCCAAATCAGACTCTACACCAGAAAGTGTTAAGGCAGCTGGTGCCTTTTGTACGTCTCAATTTTATTTTAGATCTATTTATAAATTGTTTTGTTGCCATGGTCGCGATAGCTGCACTGTTGGTAAACTTAGCGTTTACTTAGATTTTGTAAGGTAGTTGCTTTGTACGATCTCTAGTTCATAAACCTCAGAGAAAGCGATTACATTTATCATTTTAAGAATTACAGCGAATATTTTATTGACTATATGTATGACTGTTACAAGAAGTGGCAGGAAACTAAACTTCTCATATAAAACAAATTCATGCATAAAAACAGCAAACTTTTATGGAGCTAGTCGTTCGTATACCCAACCATTTTCTCCAACGTGTACTAGGTCAGATCCATTTATTTCTGGAATTTGATCACAACGACGAAATCTAATACGATCATGCAGTCTGTTTGTTTGACCTTGCCAAAACTCAATTGATTTCGGAGACAGAATATATCCTCCCCTAGCAAAATATAAATAATAGATTTTTTCCAACGTTATCAACAATGTGTTATCTTGTACAAACGTGGATCGGTACAATTTGTCACATGAAAATAGGATGCACACAACTACCACTATGAAAGTCATACGGTTCGAAATAATAATAGTATTATCAGCGATAGTAAAAGCTAAGCATATAGAATTTAGTCTTTAAAAATGAAATTGAAAGACAAATACCGTGAAATAATGTTAAAACGCAGGAACTGGAGAAAGATGAAGAGTGAACGGAAACTTGCCAGTGCAAAATATTTCGTCTAGTATCAACCACGGTATGTAGTCATAGGTTGCGGTTCTGTAAAATAGTCAATGATTAATTTGGCTTCATTTAGCCTGTCAAACTAGAACTATTTTAGTCACTATGACGTGTCATGGTGGCCAATGTTCTTCTACATTTCTGAAGCCTCAGTGAATGAAAGTTCACAACACCGTCGAACGGTTTATAATCTTTACCTAGTAACTACATCTAACTTCAGTATTACCAACTTGGTTTTATAGAAACGCCACATCCCATAATCAAAACAGGAACAATCCATTATAGCCAAACCAACGTTGTGACTGACCGAGCCAAACTGACTAATAATTGCTGAAAATGTTGAGATGCACGTTAATATACCATAAACTTAGTGTCTTTAGTAGCGAAATTCACGCATATTCATTTTCTAATTCTACGTACTTTTTGTCCAGAAACTATTTGAAGCGAGAAAAAAAACTATACTATTATCCTAAGACGTTGTGAACCAATTCGATATGGTGTAGTCAGATGAAAAAATGGTCGAAGAAATATAAATGACTACTTATATATTGCACTCTAGCATCAAGAATCCTACCACATGAACAAATAACATTGAGGAAGAAGTGAAAAACGAATGAAGTGTAAGGTTTAAAGTTTCTGTAGTAAATAAACTGATTGAACACCTATAAAAAATGAGGTGGTTGAACAAGACGTCACATACATACAGTTTATCTGTGCATGGTATGTTGGTTAAGAGATCGTAAAAAGATTCATAGTTAATATAAAAAGATGCAGTACCGATTGCAGAAGTTCAAAATTGCTGTTTTGATATGTTAATTTGTAATAAATAAAATACATAGAATGGAGATTGAGTGGTTCAAATGGTTGTGGACGGAATAGAAGTGGCTTTCGTCTAATGGGTTTTGTTTTTTAATAATGGTGGATCACTATTATTTCTAGGCAGGAAACTAGATATATTAACCATAAGAGAAAAAAATTGGTAAATTCTGATGAGATACTAACCTTATTCCATAAGAATAGGTCAAGGACTCCAGGAAATTCGCTTGGACTGGCTCAAACGGCAGCGAATTACACCATTTTACAACTCTTAAGGAGTAGAATTGGTGTCCACAATTCGTTGTGTTGTGTTGTATCTCCAGTTTCTAGGTGTTGCCACTTAGATTTGTGTTGGAGCTAAACTTAAGTGGGTGTTTAAGGTGATATGCCGGAGTGTTAAGGATGTTGTAAGCAATTAGGATGTCGCCTCTAAGACGCCTGTACCCTAATGGGGAAAAGTTTGGATTGATTCCCCCAACTGATTTCGTGGTTCGCCATTGGATACGCTCCGGTGTCCTTATCCTTTTGGGGTGAGAGAAAATACTATGTTTTCGAACTCCGTTGGGGACGAATAAAACTGTTGAAAAATATATGGAAAGTTCTTCCATCAAACTGGCAAAAATGCGCTCCAATGTTACCAGTGCGAGGTTTGATAGACACATTTTTGTTACAGTTAACGTAAGACTTCAAATTGTAGGGTACCAGTACTCCTACATATTTTTCAACTTAGGATACTTCTAGAGAGGACTTCTCTAAGTTGTAAATGTAGTCTGCGACGTGTCGGAGATGGACTATTTTACACTTTGAAGTGTCGAAGGTAAGTCTGTTATCGTCTATTCAACCTGGAAGTCGAGTCAGATCCTCCTGGAGTGTCTGTATGTCGTCTTGGTTGCATATCACTTCCTCCAAAGTTTCACATCATCAGCAAAAAGTAATAAGTCTGACGATGCCTGTTGCGGAAGACCGTTTATATAAATCAGGAAGAGAAGAGATCCTAGCGCTGAAATCTGAGGGACCCCTCTAGGACATTCCATAGCCTGAGAGAAAGTGAAGTCAACCCTGACCTTAAAATGTTAATTTTTAAGATGTGAATTGAACCAATGAATAAGAGATGATTTGATACCCAGGAGTTTGAGTTTATTGATAAGACACATATGGCTGACCCTATCAAATACTTTTGAGAATTCGAGGTATATGACGTTAATCAAGGATGGTTGTCCACCTGCCCACCGCAGTCAGCACGTTGGTTATACAAAAGCGATCCTTACTGAAACCGTGCTATTGGGATAAAAAGTAGTTTAAGGATAATAAATGGTCATGTATACCGTTGTAAATCAGGGACTTCATAGAGAGGTATAGAGAGAAGAGCCATCTGTCAGTAGGTTGGTCGCTGTGTCGACCTACTTTGAAAATCAGTGTGATTTGAGCCAGCTCCAAATTTCCGGTAATATGCCTCGGCTCAGTGAGTATGAGAACATCACGCTAAGCGGTGTTGCCAGGATTGAAGCTGCACCCCTCAATATAGGAGAACAAACCATTTCCGGGCCAGGAAAAGTGTCTTTTCTTAGATGCTGCAGTTTTCGGAACACCAAGTCAGCTCTCAGGTTCACATCAGAAAGTCCTGTGCAGTTGCAGATGAAGCTTCCATCAATGTAGATAATATGTGCCGTTGAAATGTCCGAGAATACTATTCAGCCGGAAGTTTAGCGGCGTCACTAGTATTATTAGTGAGCCCATTACGACCTAGTAGTTGAGATGCTTCACCTTTTTTCTTCTTAAAGAGAGGCTGCATAACGGAATAGGCTTCTCCGGTTGGAGACTAATTTATCCATAAGCTTTATCTGGTACTAAAGCCTGTCTTCTTTTATTGACTTTGTGCATATGTTCCTTATACATTTGCATTGTCTGTACGCACCGTTGTTATCAGTTCGTTTTTACTTTGCCCAGCAATGTCTTTTGCGACATAGTAAACGAAGAGTGAGGTTCCTGATGACTGTAGGCTGCTTGTTGCTTTTGGGGACCGTCTGAAGATTGACTGATTTGTAGCACATAAGAGCGTGTGCAGTAAGAAATTCCAAACAGCATCCATACCAAGGTAAGGGTGAACATCCCAATCCCCCTGTTGTAGATAGTCCTGTAAAGATGACACATTCAAACGTTTAAAATTCCAACCCTTTTTGATGGTTGGATGTTTTAGCTCAGTTTTGCTGGCATAACTGAAGCCTATAACAGTATGATCGCTTTCCCCTAGGTGAGCAAAGATTGAGAAGTTGTCAATTAGGAATTCTTTGATTGTAAATACCCGGTTTAAACGCGACGGTATCTGACCGTTCCTCCAACGAGTTGCCGACTTCACATTCTCGAATAATCCCAGATCCTCAGTGAAGTTGATGAACCGAGCTTCAGTAGTATTTCCACGTATGTACTGAGAAATTGACTTCAGGAAGATTGAAGTCCCCTAGAATCAGGATATGAGTGAGTCCGAGATGAGTAAAGCGGGGTAACCCTTCCCACATGAGATTGTCGTACTCGATGTTACCAGTTGGCTTCCTGTTGATGACTCAAACTAGACATCTCGAGGTGGTAGACAGTCTTACTGAGCACCATACGTGTTTCATCAAGAACGATTAACTGTTGGTTGTACACTTGATGTACTTCCAGGCAAGAATGTAGGTATAAGGCTACTCCACCCCTAGTTCCTGGTTTTCTGTCATTGTGAAACAAAGACATCCCGACATTTAATGCCGATAAACATAAATCTCTGACAGTTGAAAAAGTATTACATCTTTAAACCTCTAAACATTCGACAAAGCCTTCAGCGTTACATCACTCTCAAGTGTTATTCAGGTTTATGTAAAGCCATGGTACTTTTGTTATTTCGAACTAGCGGTTAATGCGCGGATTTCAAACTCGACATTTGATGGCGAACCGTAAAAGGAACAGGCCAGAGGATTGGGAGGATTTGGAACCATCTCCAGTTATTCATATACGGGAGTTGCCAGAACATACTCTCGAGCTGGACTTGATTAGAGTTTTTGAACAGTTTGGCTCTATTAGGGATATTGCAATGATTCCACATAAAGGTCAAGCACTAATTGAATTTGATGACATCAACTCAGCAGAAAGAGCTGTTGCAAGGTAATCTTCAGTAATATACAAATTACATGAGTACAAGATGTTCAGAGAATGCCGTGATGTTTGCTAACCACCGATTGAAAGTTAACTATAGTACATCCAAACGTGTGGTCCACCGACCTCTAGAAAATGATAACCAGCACTCCGAATTGCCTCCCGAAAGCCGTGTACTTATGTTAACGGTTTACAATGCTCAATATCCTATCACAGTCGATGTCATCCATCAAATTACAGCCAAACATGGACGCGTTTTACGCATTGTCATTCTCCGTAAAACGCGAATACAGGTACTTGTAGTTTGACATTTTACTTGTTCAAAGGCTATGGTGGAGTTTAAAAATACAGAAGAGGCCCGGACTGCTAAGCGGCATCTTAATGGAGCCGACATATATTCTGGCTGTTGTACACTGAAAGTCGAGTTCGCTCGTCCTACACGCTTGACTGTTACTCGTAATGATCAAGATTCATGGGATTTTGAAAATCCATTATTACTGTCTACCTCACTTAATGAAGCTGATGGGCGTGGAGATATTTCTCTATTAGGTAAGAAGAGTCTTCGCTTACTATTGTCTTAGGACGTTTTGAACGTTCACGTGCTCGACACGAAAGCTCAAGGTCTGTTAATGGTGGCAACTTTGGCTATCATGATGGTTTCATAAAGCAAAATGCTGTCGGGCTTAGTGTCCCACCTGCTTCGTTCTTGGACCAGTTGGCTTTAAATTACCATGTATCGAGGCGTGGTCTCGATGGATTGAATGGTCAACCTTATGCTAGGGCTGCAACTGCTGTCATAATGGTATATAACATGGATATGGATCATATGAACTGCGATCGGTAAGTTTCATTCTCAAGACTTTATCAAGCTTAAAAAGCCTTATAATCATTTTGGCCTTGCTCAGTCAACGTGGCTTTCCATACTCATAATTCGAACTTATTTCTTTATTCGTTTACTCGGGTATGATTAGTGGGTATACAACTTTCTTACCATTTGGGTAGGCATTAACTACTTTATCTGGTAGGTACACTTATTTAGGAAATGTATAATATTAGGTAGTATTAAGACTGTAGCTGTTAGTTACACAAATATTTTACACAAACCCGACATGTGTTGTTTCAGGCCCTGGTAAAGACCTTACGTGTGTAGCGACTTAGGTTACTCACCAGTCTATTCAAACAGTAAAACCAAATTCGTGAGTCCTTTTATTCGTGTTCTTATTAATAATACACTTGCACCTAGATGTTCTGTCCTAGCATGTTTCTTACTCTTCGTTGTATATCTACCAGCTTACCCTTATCTATTTGGATTGTATTAGCTGATGCACAAAATTGAGTTGATTGATCTCCATTCCATCTGCTCACATGAATCCCTGAAATGTCTCAAACACAGACTTTCAATTCTGCGTTTTATTGACGTGAAAATTGTACCATATATTGGGAATTGATTGGTGTGTATGTTGGAAATCGACTAAATTACGGAGTTTACGAGGTGCCACAAGGTGGTGACCTCGATGTAATTGGTAGTTCCGGATCAGATTTAAGGAATACTTGTAAGCGAGTAGGTTAATTATTCTAATACACAAAGTCAGATAATACTAGTTTCAGTATATCCTTAGACCATCTGTTTTATTTTTATTATTTTATTTGAACACATAAATACTGGTACAAGGGGGCACCAGAAACATATGCGCAGCACAAATCTCATTTGATTTGTGTGAGTGCTGTGATTCTGCCCGGGTGCCCAGACTGAAACAGGTGATCTTAGGGGGCCACACCCGGAGCATCTGACCCAAAGGTCCGACCCACGAGGCAGTGGAGCAACTTCAGGAAATTCAGTCTCAGACTCTCCGTGACTAGCTGTTTAAAGTAGTGCTTACTATAGTTCCACTAGAAATGGTCTCGTCAATTTTCTTGTAATTTACTGTGAATGAGTTTCAAATTGTACGATGGACTACTTGTTTTCCACCAGACCAAATTTACTAAAACTATTAATCCTTCCAACTTTTGGTAATTGATCAATTCTATTGAGTTTTTAATTATCACGCTTTCGTTTTGTTTTAGCTTGTTCAACCTTCTTTGTCTCTATGGTAATGTTGTTCGTATTAAGTTTTTGAGGACTAAAGAAGGATCAGCTATGGCGCAAATGGGCGATAACGTTAGTGTTGATCGTGTCATTACTAACCTGTCAGAAGTCCCATTGATGGGAAATGCATTGTCGGTATGGTTCTTTCTATCTTAAATTCATTTTGTTGTTTTGCTGATAGGTCACTAGTTTTTAAATACTAGTGACTAATAACGTCTTAGCTTTAGTTAGTCCTACGTGCTGTCACCATATTGTTACCATATATTCGGTCAGTTTGACCAAATGAATCCTTCACATATGTGCATCGACCCAAGTCGTCATTATATCACACAGCAGTGATTATTATCAATGATAGTAAAAACAATTGACCACTGATAGGCTTCCAAAACAAGATCTAATTTGCCTGAAGCAAAGTAGAAAGTAGTTTTTTAAATTCAGGATCTACGCTACTGTTACCGATTATGAGCCATCGTTCTCACTGTCCGACAATTGATTACTTCTATCGCACTGACCCCAACTGGGCAGTCTACACCAAGTAGCATGATCCGCTTCAGTATTCATTGATTTCATGGATTGGTTTCTTATCTTTACTTAATCGCCTTTAGTTTTATAACTTACTCTCATACCAAACAACACACGGGGTGGCTAGTGGGGTTAGGTTTTAGTAACATTAGGATCTATCGTCCCATCAACCGATTCTTTATCTTTGCCTAGTGTTCTCCTGATAATATTGCTCTTTTGTTCCACAGTACGTAAACAGTCTTCCAAATAGACGCTAATGTTAACGCAAGTTGACAAATCTAGGTCAGATTTCGAATCTGTGCCGAGATTTCGTCAGGTACCAACTCACCAGGGTTGATGAGGCTTTTAAGAGAGGTAGACAGGTCAACGCACTTAAATACTGCTCTCCTTATGATCAATTTTGGTCAGTTAGGCATATGCGACGCTCCACCTAACCTATTGATAACTGAAGCTCAACTCATCTATATGTTCACACATATAACTGAGTTATATGTTCATTGCTCCTAACTAGCTCTCGATAACTAGAATTAATATGCATTCTGATTGCACCATATGTCAGAAAACTAAATTTAGAACTAGTCTCGCGAAAATACACTAATATTCATCTCATTTGAGTTTCATTCATCCGACATCCGCGATCTTACGTATTAGTCGCTTCGTAACACTTACACGGCTAATCAATTAACAGGGGTCGAAAATATACCCCTTCACGATTCAAAAGGAATATGGTTCGAAGTATTTCGTCTCCACAGTCAATCTTCTATTCCTCTGGTCATCCCTGTAATACATATTTAACAGAATGTCTGTTCATCATGCAAATGAAAACACACTACTCAATATCCAATTCTAACAGTTTCAGAACAGCAGTGAGGTATATACACCGACACAGTTATCATTCAACAAGTTAATTATTCTTTACTTGATCGAAAACGTCTACGTTGATAACCCAGTAATCATTATCAAATACATTTAAACTCTACTATGTTCTATCTTTTTCTCAACTGCTTTCGTTTTTACTTGAGCTTTTCATTACTAAACTCGGAGGCTCATTAAACTGTCAAACATACTACAAACAATTTTTCACAATGTTACATAAAACATTTTGCATCTAAAGCGCGGAAAGCTCATCTCAAACATAAATGTCACTCACCAATATAATAAGGCATTCCTAAGTTCTCGGACTACCAACAATCAAGGCCAGACTATTTATTTACTTCTGGCATTACTTTCTTACTAATATAGTTCTTAGAATTGAAACGATAAACTTCTTTACTGTGTTCTGCCTTCTTATAAAATTTCCGTTGATATTATTATATAGAGTTGTATTTCTCCCTTGAGGGCTGAAAAATTTATATTCACACCCTTCAAGTATTATGCTACAATTAGTCGCAGATGAAATTAAACAATGATCCAGTCTCATAGTTGATGGTATTATGAAAACAGTATGTGACAGAGATGTACATATATTGTCGTAAGGAATGTTTTTTGATCTCTCTTATACAAATGACACGTAGGCTGTCTAAACCGTACTTAATCATTTACAATCATCATTCCATAATAGGATATACACTTTACACCTTCGAAATACCAACTACGCTTATAAAACTGAAAGGAGCCTGGATCTTTACTCCTTATGTTTGTCCATTGGAGATAGGCGACAAGTTCATTTATCTTGATAGCCGTGCGCTAGTCCTGGCTTGGCTGATGAAATCAACCTAGGCATAGTCAAAGCAGAAGCTTATGTTGACTTAATCCATCTTTGGCTCCGTTGCAATGTTATTCTAGTTGTTATAGGTAGGGTATATGTATCATAAAATGCACTTCTGCCCTGTGTATGTAAAACTTGGACTCTGTTTTGATGATGTTTGATGATTTTCCGTATTTAGTCCTTGTTGCACCCAAAGGATCGCTCACATACGATGCTGACACTATCCAAGTAATCTCGAGGTCTGACAGTTTGTTCACAAATGATATTTCAGTTTACCGTATATCAACATATCGGCTTCTCTAGCTTAAGCTTGTCTTACTAGTGTCAGTTTAAAGAGCTCTCAAATCGCATATTATTTTCCGAAATTAGAACTTGGGAGGAACAGAAAGTCCAGTTTATGAAATGTGGGATGTAAGGTAAGACTGGCGTCCAAGTTAATCACAACCATTTAGTTTAGGCTTCAAATATCATGCAACCCGATAGCTTGAGCTGTCATCAAGAATGGTTCAGAATAAAAACATTGTAACAATCCCGCTATAGTTTCTTACCTTTTCACATGAGTAAGCTCCCATTATAAAAGTAAAGATCTATCACGCTTACACTCCCATTCGGACTGCTTCTTTATAGAATACTACTTTTTCTCATTTACTTCTTAATTATGTGGTTTCCCGCTTTTTATTTTCCTCGGTATCATCTACTCATTCTGAATTACTTGACCTTCTGCTTCGTTTTCGGAGTTTGTGTTATAAATGGAATTAAATGTAGGTGTACTTTTTGCCGTGCTGATAGTTACATTTAGGGTCCTAAAATATGAAATTTTTCAAGACATTTCAACAGAACACTTAAATAAAAACTAAACAGAATGATATCTATCATTTCTTTTTGTGGTTAGCTATTGTAGTCAGTTGAATGTACTTGGTTTGATTTTTTGTGTAGCGGAAAACTCAGTGTTCTCAATTTACTTTTAAATTCTAGATTCGTCCAAGCAAACAACAACTTATCCTGGACGTACCGAAACCTTTTGAATTACCAGATGGTACCCCATCTTTCAAAGACTATTCAGGGTGTCGTGAAAATAGATATATAAATCCAGACAAGGCGAGTAAGAATAGGATCTATCCACCATCACATACTCTGCATTACTGGAATTGTCCTCCGAGTTATACCCCAGAGGAACTACGCAAGTTGATTGTTGAATGTGGTGCTTCACCACCCCGGTATGTAGTGCTGTTTCTCAATGTTCGCTTTCGATATTTGTAAACACCATACCACTGCTTCTTACTTTTATCCCATGGTCATCTAACTGCATGACTAACATTTTTTCAAATGATAGTCATAAGTGGTAATAAAGTGTTTTTGTATAACGCCTTAAGACAACAAAATCTAATCAGTCGGCAATACTCATCACACTCCTATTCAATTTCACAGAGAAATTCAAGCAGTCGAAACATAGCATTGATAATAATATTTTCCGTCCATTAATTGTGCCATGCAAAATTCACTGCACGTGAATGTTGTGTTTACCACCGCCTGGGCGTGAAAATGTTTTGTCGGTAGTAAATTCGATAGTCATTGTAAACTAAGGGTATCTTCAGTTGTGGAGCATAATTATTCGCTATGATACTCTTGTAAGAAATAATGTTTGCAAGATTAGGTTCAGCACTATCATCATCAATTTGATTGGTACCAGTATGATAATTATTTAGGACATTAAAGTGTATTTGGTTGTGTATTCTTATTCAATAAAATAATAAGGCGCTTAAGTATTATTTCGCGACGACAATAGATATCTCATCCGTTGTGTTATCTGTTTCTGTTAAAGGTTAAACTATTGAAATAGCTTCCCATTCACTTATAATATGTGCTTATCATTCTGTAAGGTTTTGGATGGTAGTTCAGTGAACTGACTTACTGTTTCGCCGAACTGTATCTTGTTTGATTTCCCTATGAAGAACATATACTTCTTATATAATATATCTGTCAGTCGGTAAAATATGTATCTAGTTAATTCAATTTCTTAACTTCTGTTCTTTTCGGATAATTCCTTATTTTGTTCAAACTGTATACAGCCAAATTGCACCTTTCCCAAGGATTAGTGATAGATCCTCTTCAGGCCTTGTAGAATGGGGAACAAAAGATGAAGCCGTTACTGCCCTTGCTTTGTGCAACCACCAAGCTATTCCAAACACCGAAGGTCGTTATCCATTTCTTCTTAAACTGTCATTTTCAAGCTCTCCTGTCAATGACCGGGCATTTTCAGGTTCAAAGAAGATTGGCTCATCAAATATTGGAAAGTCAGCAGCATCCGTAGACTCTAGCGAGTATGAATAGTTAATGGATAGGTTAGTTAGTACTTGTTTAAATTTTTAAAATTCAATGGTTTTTTATCCATTTCTTTTTGTTTGTTGTGTCATTTATCTCACCGCTTTCCCTGTGTATATAATACAGGTCTAATATACTCTTAAAATCATGTTATTATTTCCTTCGTAACATCTACTAACGCGGCTCATTATACTTTTATTTATTTAAAATGTTTTGGTTTGACTGTTTAGTTAATTTTCTACTGTAATTAAAAAATTACCCTTCACATCGTCTTTTTACACAATGCATTTGTTTTTGGAAGTGCATTTTGATCATGTATCTTTTGTAGCGATCCATTTTTCTGAGCTCTATAAATTACACAAGGTCTCAAGTATTCCTACATAAACTTAAGTATCGACGTTTCTTTGCTAATAATTTCAGATATTTTGTTTCAAGAAGCTTCAAACACAATCCTACCTCTTTTTGAGACCTTCCTCCCAAAGCTGCTCGCCATCATAATTTTTTCACCCAAGTTAATTTATGGATGATGCGACATGAAAACTGTTTGTCCGTGGATCATATTAGAGTCGTCAATCGAACACAGTATATTAAGTCTACTTGATTTTCATAGTAGACAATGATAGTTTCTTTTTTTACTTAAAAGCAGCATTTGACTTTGTACACCAGAAGGTTATGCGGCAGTGTCTGTCATTGAAAGGCGTACCTCAAAAGTACATAAACCTTGTGAAGGCTCTTTACTCGAACACTACTAGTCCAGTCACATCTGTCATCTGATTTTGCAACCTAAAATGGTGTCCGTCAAGGTTGTCCACTATTTCCATTTCGGTTTATTTTCATCATAGATATACTACTGGAAATGACGTCCACGTCGACTGAATTTTCACGAATTAATCTCCTTCCCGATGGTCCACTTGTAGACTTAGAATATCCAGATGACAGTTCTGTTTGGTGAAGACGCTGATAAAATGCAGAGTGTTTTGGTAGCATTGAGCAACAATTCCAGGATGTTTGGAATGCATTTCTCCCTTTCTAAGAGCAAATTGCTGCTTCAGAACTAGTCTGCGTCAACACCTGAACTAAAGATAGGGAGTGAAGTAGTCGAACGCGTCGACAACTTCACTTATCTCGGAAGTCTGATCAACCCTAATGGGTTGGTGTCTGACGAAATCTCTGCACAGATTCAGAAAGCTCGTTTGGTTTTTGCCAACTTATGTCACCACCTATGACGAAGGCGAGATATCCGTCAATCGATTAGCGGACGGGTGTACTGTGCAGCAGTTCGTTCTGTGCTACTTTACGGCTGCGAAACGTGGCCATTAAGAGTAGAAGATATTCGCAATTTACTAGTATTTGATCATAGATATCTTAGAAATATTGCTCGCATCTGCTGGGATCACCGGGTAAGTAATAGTGGGGTTAGATTCAGGGTATTAGGGAATGATGGTAAATCAGTTGATGAGGTTGTGAATCTACATCGACTGAGATTGTTGAGCCACGTGTTACGTATGCCTGAACATCAATTACGACGACGCGCATTGGTAATTACTGTTGAGGCGGTTGGAAGGAAGTTAGGGGTGGTCAAACCAAAACGTGGCATCAGTGCTTGAAGTCACTAACTTCTAGTCTTAGTCATGTTGGTAGATGCAGACCACTTGGTTGGGGTCCGCGTGACTATCGTAACCGATGGTTGTAGAGTCTTGGTGAAATGGCTCAGAATCGATCACAATTTGCGTAAGTGTATATACTCTTTGTCTTCCCTTAAACCGTGAGATTAAAATTACTTCATACCTTTCTTTCTAATAACTAATTCTTTCTTCCTGTATTATATCCTACGCAATCTTTCTTTTTGTATATTACTATCATTGAAGTAACTACTTCTATGGATCTGGTGCTCATCTTGTATTAATGAGGTGTGGCAAATTGGACCGGTGCATATATGTGCCTGGTCCTACGTTGTTTGACTGACTGTTAGTTGTTAGCCCTTTTGTAGTCTTCCAGTTCCTTCAAACACTTATTATTCTTTGTTGTACTTGGTGTTCATTCTAGTCTGATACCAATTTAAATGCTTAATGTAAGCTGGTTTAAACAGCTACTTTCGTGCGAATCAAAAGCTTTTATTGCCTTACCCACATGAAGTACATGCACAAATTCATTCATTTAGATATGTCTCCTTGAAAATCAAGTCAGGTTCTCTACTAAAAGCGTGAACCAGTGAACATTTCTCCCTTATTGACTGGCCTTGATATGGTACGTCTGACCTAAACTATAGTTTTTCCATACAACAATATTGGCACTTCAAAAGCTTTGATTTTTCTTTATAATTAACTATCTTTTGATGAATGTGCGAGCGAAACATTCGTTTTTCTGCTAAATAAATGCTCAATAAATATAAGGGGATAACTGGAATTACAGGGAAAAAAGTGTAATATGAAATATATAAGTTGTCACGCTACCCTAGGTTTTTACAATGGGATAACAGTTGCCAAGAAATAATCCAGGTTTAAAAAATGTTTTTGGACACATAAACGAGGTTCGCACTTTTTAATACTCAATACTTCCATCTGTTCAGCAATGCACCCTTGGTAATTCCTACACATAGATTTAAAAGCTGTTTTAATGTCAATCTTATAACCTGTTTTAATTGTTTTGCTACGGGGAGCATGATTTTACTCCTGCGTTTATCGAGGTTTGAGACACTAATTGATCATGAAACAATTTCATCATTAATTATTCCTCTCTATGTATGTGTTCACACACATGTTCATTGGTTATTGCATGAGGTGTAATGTTGTTTAAACTGCGTTGAGACCTATCTGAAATCATTTGATTAGTCTACTCATTTATAATCAATTTTGCAACACTGTATCTTTTTTTCGATGGTCGCTTTCAGTCTCTGCCTCAAAATCATGCTGTTTGATTCTTCTTTATAAACTTTGAAGAACATCTGATGTCATTTTTTCAGTCATCCATTTTATATCCTCTTCAATCGTGTCTATATTTCAGATCCGTTGAATCTTATTGTATTTTCGAGTCGCATGTGTGTGAATTCATACATGCAGAAGAGCAATCGGACAGCACCAGTCAAGGATGATGAAACATGTGCCAAAGTGGTTTCATGATCATTTAGTTTCGAACAACTCGATTGTTTCAGGGAGTGGGAAATCATGTTCCTCGATAACAAGACACAATTTGTCCTCTTTTTGTTTTGTTGCGAAAAGTGGCAACCCGAAGTGGCTTTTTGACACGACTTTCTGCGTTATATTCATTAAAACTGTTTCACTATTCAGTTGGTCACTTTGTTCATTCGTGTCACCACGTTATCGTGTTTGGTAAATATCTTATAATTAGGCCGTATTGTTTATAGAAGAGTTTGCTTTGTGCTATTTACTCATCGATGCATCTTGTCTCTGGACTATTGGCCATTTTCTACGTATTTATTTGCGTTCATGATTATGTGTACATTGTTCGACTCAAAAATGTCATCGAATAGCACTTCTGTTCATCTGTATGCCTAACAACTTTTGTTCATGAATGAATATCTTTTGAGTTTCACAATTTCTTTATTGATACTGACCTTTTTAATCCATACAGTACACGACACACGTTATGTACATTACTTCTACTAATTAAAAACTCCATTTCCTGTATAAATGTTAAATACAAATAACGGATTTCGCCAATGCATATAAATACATTTATGCTAAACCCGCATATAAAAAAAACATGCGTTAGGGTCACAACGCTTTCTACTAAATATCAAGTGATTACATATGTTTATTCATCTTATCTACTAAATTAAAAATTTGTAATCGAGTCAATTTTTCGCAGTCAGATACTAATTAATTTAATGGATTGTCGAGTCAGGTTAGCCGAATTTTATGAATTCTTGTATTATGACGTAACAGTTCGTGGGTTTTAGTTAAAATGAACTTTTCAGTGAATTTTTGTTCACAGTTATTTCGTAGTAATAGTTTAAATCATTTTCTTTTAGCTAAACAAAAGTGAACTGTTCATGTTATCCTATATAAGTAACATTCTTTGATTAGCTTTCACCTGTGTCGGTCTACAGTTTATTTTTGTTTTTAATTCAAGTGAATATAACAACAAAGGATTTCTGAATATTTGAAGTTTCTTCAATAAAACTTTTGTGACAGCAGAATTCACATTATCTCCAATGTGTAGTTTAGTTAGCTAGGTTTTAATGAGATTGTTGTTTAAATTTTATTCGTAGTTATGGTACCCTAATGTTCATCTTTAAAAACACTAATATCGTTCGACCGAATTCATTTGATTAGTTCTTATTTTTTGATTGAACCAAGAATCAATCATTCTCTTGTTTTCCTTGCACTTTATTTATTTGCCTTCTATTAACTTCATTATTTTCGTAATCCTTTGCTACTAGCTTTTTGAAACATAAATAACATCTTTCGGTTTCTGTAGAGTTCTACTTGGTCATATTTTTACCGGGTTTTTCTGACTATTCTGTTTACTCGTGGAATATGGTTTGAAATAGTTTTCGGGTTATGTGGAGTGTTATGTCAGTAAGCATATTGCTAATATGTTACATGAAGGTGTTCATATTACATTGTAATAACAATATTTTAATTTGACATTTGATATACATAATTCTCAAAACATTTATTATAAATTCATGGCCAAATGTCATAGCAAACTATACAAGTTAAAAATATCCATGCTCTAATTGTTCATTGTTTCCCCCATCAGACTATCCGTTCAACATAACAAACGAACACAGCATTTGTCATCAAAATTTATTATCATATTCTTCACATGGTGATTCCTGTGGTACAACAATCAACGCAGTCGCACTATGCATTCAACTAAATTACATAATCGCATATTGAAGCTGAACCACACATCAATCTTCAACGTCAATTTATTATTTCAATTTATTCATACTGTCATTCTTCCCTTTTCTGTTTAATTAGTCTTCATATATATCTATATCTATATATGCATCATTGTCATTTATTAAAATTGGTGTGTCTATTACTTGTCGCTTGCCTATTGGCTTTAACTATTGCTAACTGACACTCATGAATATGGAGATGGCATTTTAAAAAAAAATTCTAATACAATTTTGATGCTAACTGTTTTCTGTTTAACTGACTATATGTTTATGTGTTCCTGACACCGTTATTTTAATGTTTATTTGCATGCTATTTTCGCATTTAGGACTTATAAGTGGGTAAATTTATTATGTTTTCGCAGTAAACATATATCCTGAATAGTTAATTGTCGGTTTTATGTCTGGTTTGACTATTCCTATTGGTTTTGTTGATTACAACATACCATTATTTTCGTGATCAGTGTACTTTGTCAGTTACCATATATAATTTGCAGGTATTTTTTGTTTGTGCGTTTTCTTTGACTATCTCTGATTGTTCATACTTTGTTAGTGCATTTAAAAATAATATACACAAATAAAAACATTCCCTTAACAATCTTACACAGAAATAAATGTGAAAGGCTCTTCATGCATTTTACTGTATCACTGACGACGTTGATTTCTCATCTGCTTGATGCAGATTTAAATAAATAATGCGGAAGTAAGATTTTTGAAAATAAATAAAATGGTCACATTCTATTGACCAGTTGGGCTTTGTATGTTTTTAAATACATTTGTTTGATAAAATCCTCAGATAAGAATATTGCAACATACTCTCATCTGAACATGATACAGATTTCTTCTTACGGACTGATATAATGAAATCCCAACCTTGATATATTGAACAACATATTTTTGTGCAGTATTCTGCGTTGTATTATGGCCGTTTAATCATCAGTATACTTGATTGCATTCATCATATTCAACCATAGATTATGTAATATTCTTTTGTCTTTTGCATACTATTAACTAAAACGACTGTTTGATCCAGCATAAATTAGGTTAAAAATATTCAGTAGGACAATAAAATCTCATTAACAATTATATATTTGAATTTATTTCAACTGATGTCTGCAGTACAATTGAGCTGTATGTGTTGCATTTAATATTCGTGTTTCAGCATATATGTGTATACAAATGTGATACTATCTCTGCTGAAGTGGGAATGTGCAGAAGTATATGTAATTTCAGTATCACTTCCGTAGGTGTTTAGTTTACTGCTTTACTATTTACATTTTAAAATTTTGCCTTCTATATTAGGTCACTTTGATTACCTCAAGTCACTATTAACATGTGCGTTTTTTCCTAACACCTAAGCCAACTTTTAGCTAATCGAAATCATTAGGGATTTTGTTTATTGCGTAAAAAATTACCATATATTCTGGAGTTTTTCACCTTGTTTGATTTTAATCATTTTAGACAGTTTCCTTCCGTCTTTATTTATTAGTTTCTTGGTGAATGAATAAAAAAGATATCTTCTGTTTATGTAATGAAAGTTTTTCTAGCATTCAAATGATACATTTTGTCTTAATAACTTCTTGAAATTTGTTAGTTTTTTCTGATTTTATCTTCATTGTATTCAGTTTACAGAGCACGTAGAACTAAAAACACTTCACTTATTTGTTCTTTAGCATGACAGATATGTGCATAATATATTTTCAGTAATTGTATATAATTACATAATTTCATGTACATGTGATGAAAATCATCCTGTAGTGATCAATACAACTGTATTTCATTGTCTTTATGGACACATAAACCAAAGATGAACTTATTCAGCCTACTTGAAGTTCCACTATGATCAAAATATTATGATTTATGTTCGATATGTGTAGAAAATTTAGATGTATTTACATTGTCAAATATAGTAAAGTAGTGAGAAGCTTTTTTGAAACGCTAATTTCTTTCAAGTGTATTAGCAGACATAAGCTTTTTCTTTAGATATGATTAGCAGATGTCTAAGTCTTATATTCAATCCTAGAAAGCCGGAAAAATATCAGTTAGCGATTCCTATTATTGCCGTTTATAGTTTAAGGTATGTTGGTGGTCTTGGCTATAATTTTCATTATAGCCGTGTTATTTAAGCAGAAAGTAACGAGTATGATTAAAAACTGGCTTAATTAACTGGGGTTTTGTCCATCTGCCATCACACTCCTAATCCTTAAACTTAACTCATCACAATTTGTTTTTTTTGGGGTTTTGTTTGTCAATTATTTTCATTATATGTTTCGATGTTTCCGCATGTTCTCTCGATGTATAGTTGCTCATCAACAGTTCATCTGTGAATTTAATCTTATACTAATTTCTTAGGACTATTGACTTCTTGACAAGCTGTCATGTTGGATTCATCATCATAATTCCTACAAAATCGATTCCTATTTTTTCGCTTTGTTAAAAATCATTAGGCGTAATACAAAGGAGATAAGTTTAGCGTATTTTATGAAATTATTGCTTAGGTAGTTTGCACCATTTCTTGCATCCGGCAATGTAAAATGTGACATTGTAAAATAATGTTCTGTTTCTTGCATTTCGTTTGCCTGTTATCTCATGGTTTTCTGGTATTTTTGTATATTGTATACATTTTTGAAAAGCCGAATATAGTCGCCGTTCTATGTCTGCTTAAGGATTTGTATACGTAGCCACCTTTATCGACATGCCGTTGACGCTAGTTGCTTTTTGTATGGGTTTCATAGTAGTAAGTAATCAACAGTGTTGATGTTTCACATTGATTTTTTTGTATCTAATTGATAGCAAGAGCAAAGAGACTATAGAATAAACTAAGATGTTAAGCTTATAGGTTCCTTAAGGACAGTGAATTTTATAAACGTTGCACATCGATCCCGAACTTATACAAATATTTATTGTGTGAAACTATCGACTTCATTATCACGATATTAAAATAGTGTAAAAGCATTTCTAGAGATGAGTTTATTCCTTATGGTCTTCAAAATGTTACCCAAAGTTCATTCGAAAACTGTCATTTGTCTTTTTAGTTCGTCGTAGTGCGTATGAATTTTAGTTTATTGTATGAGGTCCAAGTTAAATTTGGAGCCCAGTATGTGTTTTGCATTACCGGTTATATTGTTTTGGGAAACCAAGATTCAAATGAATACAACGGATTTTTTGCCCTGATAAATTCGTAATGTACAAGAAATCTTTTCAGTCACCATCAACATCACTATGTTAGTAATTAAGTTTCATGTAATATTGCTATATCAGATACATACTGGATAAGGAGCATATGTTGGTAACACAGCTTGCAAGCTTTGCTATATTGATTATATCATTTACACATGCTAGTACATTGTGTCGGGAAACCTTGTGTTTTAAGGAGACCTCCATTTCGAAGGATTCTTCACTCTAAATACCTTAGCCAGCATTTTGAATACAAGCAAAAAAACGATAATTTGAATACCGTTATTGTCACACAAACAAGAGTAGGCGCAGGCGTTTACTAAAGTTCCCAAATTCACTATGATTGTCATTATAATATTTTCTTATTCACGCATCACACAGTGTAGAACTTGGTGAGAAGCTGTATAGGTCATGCGATTAAAAGACAATGAGGATTTAGAACGAAGTACTCAGATGTCAGAAACATGTAGCCCATTTTTCCAAGCTGGTCGTCAACAAACGCATTCTCGTTCTGCTAAAAAAACTCAGTCATAGCAAGTTGCTAGCCATTCTTGTTATATGCTTGTTGTTGAAAATGTAAACTGGACAGTTACTGCAATATTTATAAGGTCCCCAAGGTGCATAACGAACAAATAATTTGCTACTATTTTCGTCTACATTTGGGAAATGTATTGGGAGAATACTTTGCTCTGATTTTCTAGAGTGGAGAGGATATTTCACGACTAGTCTCATAATCTGACAATGCATGCGAGAGAGTCTTTAGCTCTAGGCTGTGTTAGGTTATCCGAAATTCAATTAATTGTTTTTAGAAGCATATAAAAAAATGGTCGCCAATATATATGCACACAAACACATATTTGAGAGGAAATTTGTCGAGAATAATGTTCGGAAACTAGGAAGTCAGCTAAACACTACTAGCTGAATTCCCGATTGAGCACTACCTATGTATTGGCTTAGTGCATTTGAAGGTCCTATATTTTCCACTTAAATTTCCATGTTTCTTCATACTCTCTTCGTTGTACCTTTTTCAATACATTTTAAAATTTGATTTGAGTTCATTCGCACTGTCTGATAGCCTCCATACTTCAACTAATAGAAGTGATTCCATGGCAGTCATCAAGACTATAAGTCCATATTGCTACATGAAATGTATGTTATGTTAGAAGGGTACAAACTGTTTTCTGAATCAGAAACGTACAGTTGGGTCAGTGAGCATTTGCGAAGCTAAGATAAGATAGGAGAGAATAATTCCATTGTAAACATTTAACCGCTACTAGCTAAAACTAACATTTAATAACAGGTGTAAGGTACATTTAGCTCGTCATCCAAGCTTATTGCTTTCTTCCGTCATGAAAAAAGCCAGACCCACGGTATTCATCACTTGTGCTATTTGGTTTTATGCGGAAATAATCCCGAACGATCTTTGACAATTTTCTCACCAGGGGTTTTATGAACAACTTTCGAACTCATCAAAGAGATTTTGTTCCTCAAATGTGGCTCCCACAGTATTCATTCCTTTGGGCGTCTGTAATGTGGATGCGCGACTTAAAATGTCTGTGAAGCCGCTCCACCTCCTTCACAACGATAGGTGACATTGATTTATACAGTGTAAGTCGACCTTGCTAGACAGATCAGCGACTGCTTACAAAATTATATACGTATATAATCAAAAGCAGAAGCATAGTTCAGAAAAGCGCATCGAACAAGCTGAACACTAAATTGTGATGCAGAAAAGCAACGTCATCTATGGTGCTTCTTTTGCATTTGCGTTCTTTTATTGCCGATTGAAGTGGGAGTATCAATAAATTTTTCATTGTTTTGAAGAAAGTTTAAGTTATTGCTATGGGTTTACATTTCATATTCTTATCACAAGGTACTTTCTTAGGTATAGGGATTGTTTTTCTCCATATACTTGGTAAGAGATTACTTGAGAAGTATCTGTTTAAGACACTTGTGAACGTACAACTCAGCACATTTTTTACAAAGGAGACTTGAGATTTCAACAGGTTCTAAACATTGGGATGAATTAAGTGACTGGAGACATTTACGAACATCAGTCTCATTGTAACCACAAACACATATATTCTTCAAACCTGTGGATGTAGGGAGCATGACATCAGATGACTGACATACAAGACTTATTTAAATCACAGACATTCAGTCAGTTATCGCTTCTAATTTGGCCTGTAAGTTGTTGAAAGAGTTTTTACAAGACAAGAGTTTCTGAGTAAACATAGAGTTGAGACGTCTAATCTCTAGGTTTATGTGCATATTCAGTTAACGGACTTCGTTAGAGTTTCTGTCACTACATTCTTTCATTTACCCTTCGTATTGCTTTTATTTGTGGAGATGTAATTCGGTCCAAATTTTCAAAAATCGTTTCAGTGGGACATCAAATATCAAAACAGAATTTAAGATAACCAGTGGTAACATCCGTAGTGTTTTTCAGTGAGTCGTTCGTAAATAAGTTCGACGTAGTCGTACAATGCATGGTTTTCGGATTTTGAATATTTTCTGACTGGTTCATTTCTTTGTCTATTGTGAGAGTGTACTCCTTCCTATACCCAATCTCCAGAGATTGGGTGCTTAGTTTGGGAAAACCTTCAAAGTCAAATGACCCTGACCAAAGTTAAAGGGAGATTTCCCAGATCTGGGGGGGGTTTTGTTATTTCGGTGCCATTTCCCAAAAATTGGGAGCTCGGGTTTGCCTTGTTAATTGATGATCGCCAGTTACAATTTAGCCTCTCCAATCAACACATGGTCAGTAAGCATTCTGTTCAGTGCGCGTACTCAACTATCAAGCTGTCTTTTCCTACTTTTGGTAACTTGCAGCGATAGGTCGTGGGATCTTCGTAAAAGCTCCTGTAAAGTTCATGCGATTAAAAGACAATGAGGATTTAGAACGGAGTACTCAGATATCAGAAACATGTAGCCCATTTTTTCAAGCTGGTCGTCAACAAACGCATATGAACTCGTGTATCCTGTGGACGTAATTCGATTTTTTTACACCTAAAGATTTGTTTTCGTCCTTGGCGTCCGTCCGACTGCGGCGAACATTTTTTTATCTGTCGTGTTGAAAAGACTTCTCTCACAGTATCTTGACGATTGTCTTTTGATTATAAACACCTGTGATTCGACTTTTTAATCTATATTCAATTAATACAGTATTAGGGTACTTCATTTGTGGCACATGTGTGCCTAACGATATCCTGAAATGCTGTTTAGGCATATAAATAATTGTGCTGTAGCGGTATATAAATCCCCAAAATAAATAGCTCTGTAAGTTTTTCGACATTGGATGCTGACCACGTTAGTTTTAATGGACTCACCTAGCTGAAGATGCTCGGTCATGCATCCGCACCAGATCACGAGTGGGAACGCTGTGCTCAACACACCCTGCAATCGCTTGCCAGATTAGGTCAGATGATTCTCGATATATTGATGGCTTATCAAATATACCTTCGAACTTCCTTGGTTGTCTTTTGATTTCACTTTTTCGGTACGATTCATATTAGGTGTTACTAGTTAAAGCGTTGTCAAACTACGAATTTCTGTGGCATCTTTAGTGCCCTCGCTATAAGTCTTCCGTGTTGATGTTAATAGATGCTGGTACTTTGGGCTTCGTG